TATACTTGAAAACTCTTAGTGTCCGGTACCAGAAATGTGGAGTCTTGGTACTTGGGAAGCTGTAGAGATACAAAGAATGAGCACAGGAATTTGTGATTAGTCTGGGCAATGGAGAGACCTTGAGACCCCCTACCTGTCAATGGAGAGAAAACTTTACACATGCCATACCCCCTTCCACACACATACAGCACACACACTTGATAATTGATATCTAAAACTGGATTTCAGATGTTCAGGGTAATAGTTTGATACACATACACATTATGCAATAATTTCAATCAAGCCAATCAACACATACATCACTTCATAGTTTTAGCAAATCTTTTACATTGGCAAAACTGATTGTAAATTCATGCTTTTATCCTTTTGAAAGTTTTCCATTTACAAATGAAGAGTGGAAATTTAAAATATAATACCATTAACTCACTGTATCTACAGCTTCAACTGCAATTTCATTTATTGGGTTCAAACTTTAAAGCCAAATATAAGACTTCCAAATGGTTATTGCTGAGGGCCAGACCCGGTGTGAGGGGAGAGATCATCTTTCTTCTTGTCAGTTCTTCTTGAGGCAGCAGAGTGGGAAGAGCGTTGGCGAGGACAAGTCTTTCCTCTTATGAGATATTTAGGGTTGCTGTATAATAAAAGTTTACTTAACTATACTAGAAAAGTTTACTTACTATTGCCACTGTAGCTGACTTGCCTTCGGTGATCCTCTGAGGCTAGAAACTGCAGTTTCTTGCACTTAGCACCTCATCTCAAAAACAGTAAAGGATTAAGTAAAAAAGCCTTTGTACTATCTCAGCAGGAACTACTGGGCTCTAACTTATGCCTGCTAGTCTGAGGTCTCAGGAAGAAAAGACACTTAGAGAAGTTATAGAGTTTATTGTTAAGTGTAAAAAGTTTCTTATAAAAGCTATCTAAAGGGAAATGTGGAAAGGTCCTAAATGGGGAAAAGGAAAACTTCTATCTGGGACAAGGGAAAAATTCTATTCCATATACTACTCTTAAGTGGGGAAAGGCAAAAAAATTCTATTCTATCCCTCCACTGTATCTGCCTCTCATCTCTTTGTCCTCAATACTTATACATGTATCTTTCAGAATACATGATCACATGTTACAAAGTTCATCACAAGTTCACACCAAAAATCAAATCATAAATTAAAATAGAAGTTTACAACAGAGAATGTTTACATGCATACCCGTCTAGCTCCACAGGTTCACTGAAGGTTTAAAACTATAACTAAGTTATTAGTGAAGTTTTGTATAGATAAACCCAGGCAATATTTTATCTTTTGTCCTAGCACCTATAATAAATTGTTAGTTCCCTTTTAATGACCTTTGGTTAATTGTTTACAACCTCTTGGAATGTGCTCTGAGTAGAGAAAGTCTGGTTACTATCTAAGGGCAATTAACTGATGACACTTGGGAGACTGGCAGAGTTCTCATTGCAGTTTTGACTATCAGAAAAGGACCTAATAGCAGTCCCGTTATAAGAGAGCTTAATAATCATTGATATAATTTTAGGGATTCTTATAGGATCATCATTAAGACTTAAGAAGTCATCTATTTGTCTATATAGCATCACCACAAAACAGTACATCTTTGTGGATCTACAGAGATCTGCTCCAAAGGGGTGTGCTATTGCTTAGTGATTGTTATATATGTTTAATAATAATAGGAAAAGCATATTAATAGGAGGAATCTTTCCTAAAATAAGTACCTTAAAGCCTTGCTGAGTAAGGGCTCACTACAAGTGATTATATAATAATCCAAGGCAAGCCGTTTCAGGATGATCACAGGCTAGTTATTAGCTTGTCTCATTATGGGTCCTGACAGGTCATTGTATTTGTTAATTTTCTTTTTGCTGTGACCAGATACGGGGATCCAAGGGACAAAGGCTCAGAGTACACAGTCAATCATGACCAGAAGCAGATATTACTTTCAAAAGCCTGCCCTCAGGGATTCTACAATGTCCTCCAAACATTGTTACCATCTGTCTAAACCAATGGGCTGGGAGTTAGGAGCAGTTTATACTCATCCTAAGTTACTTAAACTAGCTATGGTCAATTAAACTGCTTTTTACTCAGTATTCTGAATATTTCATATCGGTGATGAAAAAACTGACTCTCAATCCTACCTGCCCCTGCCCTAAAGATATTAGTAAACATTTTTATTTGGTATAAATTGGGGGTGGAAAGTTATAAGTAAAAGGAAGATGTTGCAGATACTGTTCAACATTTTTTAATGTACAACAAGAATTATCTAACCCAAAATGTGGTTAATACTGAGGTTGAGACTGACTTATGCCCATTCCACAATATGTTCTACAAGAACCTTACTTACAGTTTGTCAAGTCAGTATCAGAATGCTGAAGAAAAATCAGCACTCAGGAGTTGGAAGGCTGTTTGTTTCTTTAGAAGCTGGCAAGTGCCGGATATCTAGAGTACTAATAAGAGTGCTTAAAAGTTAATTGTCTGATTTGCTTCATGCCAAAGAACTTCATCTAAGCATTGCTTGGTCATTTTAACTATAAGATAAGCTAGTTCAGTTGGGTGTGACTATTAGCAATTTCAGACATAACAGCTTTGAAACTGTGGTTGCCAATTATCAATTGAGAGGTCTCAGGTACAATATTTTCTACAACATGGGCATCATATTTTGATGACCATCTGGCTTATTTTCTTCTCCAACTAGCTAGTGGTGTTAAGCCAAGAATGATAATCACACAGCTATTCCTAAACCTATTTGTGTAATACATAGAACATTAACGGAAAAAAAGAACACAAAATGAGTTTCTAAAAACATAATATTTATTGCTGGATCACCTATCTTAAAAGAATCATCCTGTGAATATTACCATAAACACTATTCTGGAATAAATCATCATAATTAGGAATAAATTAGTTATGTTAAGCACTTCTGGAAATGAACTTATCATTTAATAATACAGGGTAGAAATATATTATTCAGCATGATTTGTCCACATTTTTCCTGTACAACTTTGATCCAAGAGGGCAAATTATAAGGTTAAAACAGAAAACAAAACTTGAATAATTCCAACCACAACTGACATCCCTACATAAATAGGGGAAATCTCACAGGGCTCCACTCCTTGATGAAGAGCTACAAACAATTCACAACTGCTGAGAATTGGTCTTCCAGAGAGATGAGCCCCCAAATCCTTATCCAATACCAAGTAGTACTGGATGTTGCATAACCAGCCCTAGAAACATATACACAAGGGCAAGCAAGCAACACTGGATTAGACTCAGCAGGTCTTACTTATGTTTGCTCATTTATATGTATCAACAATGGTTAAAGGGGAGGCAAATTTGGAGTGGATTTGAACATGAATGAGTAGGATAGAGGTGAGGGAGGAGAAATAATATAGATTTTAATTAAATAAAACAAACAAACAAGGTTAACAATCACAAAGTTCACAGCTGAAACACAGAGAATTACTTTTCTTGTTTGGTAGCATGTATGGCACCTTCTACGACCATAAGGAAGAAGCTTCCAGGTCCAGTGGAAGTTTGATTTCCCCATGTTTTATGACTCAGGTATACAGTGTCTTCAGCAAGAGGTTCTTACAGTCCAGTTCAATAGCATAAATAGGAGGGTTGGCAATAACCTGTAACGTTAGGATGTATGTGTAGGATCTCTATGGCCAACAACTGCAAAAGATGTAACCAGGTCCTGTTAATGGGACTTTTTGTGAGTCTGTGGTGTCTAGGGAAGAACCTACTACCATTATTCTACTACATGGATATAATATTAAACTTACTCTTATACTCACTAATTAATGTATCTGAATCCTCATCAGAGAACGATTTTATGAAGCAGATGATTAACACAGAGACTCACAACTGGTTCAGGTGCAGATAATAACAGACTGCAGAATACTCATCCTCAAATAGGACATTTGTCACACACACCCACCTCCAATGTTCAGGGATCCAGCAAGAGGGGATGAAAAAACTGTAAGAGCCAGAGGCAATGAACGACTACAAGGAAATTACCTGGACACAGCAAAGTAATTGCATATATAAGATGGCATATTATGATGGGAATTCTGATTATATGCTACAAAAAGTGAGTATATCTTATATTCATTTAAGTAGAATTGTAGTCACTTGTTAACACAGGTGTTTTTCAAATTTCAAAGAAGGTATCTGCAAGTTTAATAAACAGACAACTCAATCATACTGATTTTGGGAAGAGTTAGCAAATGAGAGAAGAGATGAAAGACATTTTTGCTTTTGTCCCTTGGAAGAGGTTTTCAGCTGATAGCCACAGCCTGATAGATATTTATAAGTAGTAGCTTTTGTTATGAACTAGTATTGCTTGTTAAGCATTGGTTCCATGTTGAGATTATTAATGTTATTAAAGATGTGAAAGGGATTTTTTTTTTGGAGGGGCCTGAAATCCAGAGATTTGTGCATACTAAGCATATAAAAAGACTTTGGGAAGTATTTGTGCATACTTCCCAAAAGGACCAATTTCTAAAAATGGTCCTTTACCTTAAGATTACATCGAGAAATACTGATGCTGCAATAAACACAGTAAAGTTACTTGGATTTTAGGCCAAGTTTGTAGAATGTTTATAATTTACATAGATAAATCTTCAGTCTTAAGTAAATCCATCTGGAGTTACTTGAAAAATAATTCCCTAAATATAAATACATTTAATCTGTAAGGACTGGTCATTTCACTTATCCTCATTGGTTTGCTAGCACCGTGCCCATACTGTGATATTTCAGAGAATATAAAATGATTAAGAAGGGAAACCAAAATTTCTTTTGTTTGCAGCCAAGATGTGGGGATTATATATTTGTACTCATTAGTTCTGAAGCAAGAGAATTATCATAATTGTTTTAGAAGAAATAACAAATATAAATAAAATATGGAATAGTGTAGAATTGGCAATTTGATACTATCTGTTGAGTCAATAAGAACCAAAGTTCATATGATCCAAACCTTAGAAATTAAACAATCCACAATTTCATTTTCCATTAAAATATTTATTTGAGGTATCTTACTGAAATAAATAAGAGTAGTTTTCCTCTAACACTGATAAGTATAGATACCTATCTATATGTTATTTTTTAATTGAAGCATATCAAATTATTTTTCCTAGAACATAGCACATGAAATATTAGGAAACAAAAATAAGTACTTAAACAATCTCATTCTTAAATTACCAGCACAAGGCTTCTGAACCTCAGCATGGTAGACGGTTTGGTGGAAGAACAGTAGATATGAAGCCAGGGGGCCTGGACTACTTTGTCTATTTGCTACATATCATAGGCAAGTTTCCTCCTGAGCATTAGTTCTTTACCTTCAAAATAGGAATGACACTAATTATATCCACTTCACAGGACTGTTGTGAGTATCAACTACATCAATATACAGAATAGCTCTTTGTGAATGTAAAAGAGCTGTAAAAATATTATGTTTAATTTCATATAAAAGAATCAATGCATATCTCCCTTCAACTAAAGAATAAGCACCCAAAATGTGCCTTCTTCAGCTGAACTGTCACCTATAAACCTGGATAGGAAAATGCACCGTAGCTTAAGCACCAGAGTTCCCTGGATGAAGGAGACCCAGGGACTATTTCTAGTACAGTTTTCTCAACAGTTAGGTAGGAGCTAATGAATCTCGAGGGTCACTTAAAACTTCAACAGCTAAAGGAAAGAAAACAAGAACATTTATATAACAACACAAGGCTGGGATACAATAAGCTACTTCTTATTTTGTGATTTCAAAGTCATCTATGAATTCTTCACAGAAGAGACAGTTTAACCACTTATAGTTCTATGCATGTGTGAACACAGCATTCTCTTGCAGTAAGATCAAACACTAGTTCCTAAGGAGAGAGTAACTGAAATGAATAAACTCTACTGTAAATTTAGATAACTAGTGACTAAAACGATGAGTTACAGGAATACTGGAAAGGAATTCAGTACACTGATGATTTTAAAAAAAGTCATACTTGCAGATACATCATCTTAAAACACAAAAAAATTCTTACTAAAAAGACTAAAGAGCTTACTGTAGGTAACTGTTAATACACTTAAAAACACTAACAATGATACCACTTAAACATAATAGAAAAATGAGTTTTTCAGTATTTTAATGTTTAGTAATAAAACACAAAATAACCACCTAACGATTTATTAGGAGCTGTACTACTTACTGTAAAGTTCCAATGACAGTGTTACAGTTTAAACTCATGCAAATAACTAGTTATTATAGCTTAGCATTTTCGTAAAACATTACTGAAAAGATAATAGTGAATCATATGCTAAAGATGCTGAAGGCCCTTTTAAAAATGTCATTTACATTGGCTGTATATATCAGGTCATACAAAACTAGACTAAGTTACCTTCTTTCTCATGTAGTCTGTCTTGTTAGTTTAGTTATATCTACTACTGAAAAATTATTTAATACCTTCTTTTCTTAATTCCTCTGCCATATCAATTATAGATATACATGTGGAACATAAAGTAAATGTTTCAGGAGTGTAAAATTAAAATTCATTGTAAATGGTTTGAAATCAGTATACCGAAAAGGAGCCAATTGCCAATTATTACTAGGCTAGTGTATAACAAAATAAATGTATTCAACTTAAAATAGTATTGGCTAATATTTACTAACTTTTTGTCTTCAATTTGTAACTTTGCTTTACATCTGTGAAAGCTAAGTCCTATCTTAAAATGTGTGGAATGATTTGATGGCATTCATTCAAGGTCCTCATTCTCTTTGGTAAACAGGTCTGCCAGGTCAGCCACAGTCAACACAGAGGCTTCAGAATGCTTCCCGGATGAGCTTGTGTGGCTGTAAGATTTCCAGAGGCACAGTGAGAAGGCATGGCCAGGAGTTAGTGACTGTATGCATGACAATAAACTGAGGCACAAATCTGCCATATGTAGTCATCACTGAGCCACAAGTAGATAGTAATTGTTATATTTTGTCAAAATCAGTGAAAATGCGTAAATAATTCTGAAGCTTTGTCAGAAAATGCTCTCTATAAACAATTAATAAAAAAATCAAAGCAAATAAAAAACAGAAAATAAAACATCTGACAACTGTTGCCAAGCAGGTTCTAAACTCACTATTTACTTTAAATTTACAAAGAAGTTCAGTATTATTTTAAGTAATTGAAATAAAATTCATGATGTCTGCAGCACTTGACAACAAGAACAAAACTCTTTCAGGTTTAGATGAAAAACCCTTGGGATGGCTGGCATCTTTCCTGTTAAATCAGAGTATGGAATTTCTGGTTTGAGAAAGTTTCTGTTACCAAGTACCCTAGAGATGCCCATCCCTTTGAAAGAGCTATCATGTCATCTCTCTTTGGGCGACTTCCAATCCATCCGTCTCACAGGGAGGGAGGAAGGTACTAGTTTACTTCAAGATGACTTTAAAGGAAAATTACCGTGCAAACGTTAGAAGTTTAATGACTGCAAGGCCAAGTCCTAAATAGTTCAGACTGTTCATCATTCTACTACTATGACGCCTATGTATTTGACACAAATCACCAGCCAAGACTGTAAATTCAAACACACCTATTGACCTGTGACTGGTAAGCATAAACTATAAAACATTAATGCATGTTTAGTTTTACACATATCAAAAGTTTAGGTAAGACAGAACAATACATTTCATTTAAAAAGTAATCAAATGCAGCAAAGACAAGCCAGCTACTTTTGCATATTATAACCTATTAAATTATCTTAAGCCAAACACAGGATGTCCAAAGTATTAACTGGGACATGCTTTAGATAAAATGCTTTTCTTTGGTTTTGGAAAAAAAAAAAGTAGTGTTTACATCAGTTCTTGTCAACCAGGAGATGATCTAAAACTCTCCAATGATGGGGAATCCCCATTTGTAAATTATTACCTACCTCCTCTCAGCAGTTTTTAGCATTGCCTGCATCCGTTCTTCTATTGTTGCTTTAATTAAGAATCTATGTACAATAGTAGGTCTAGAAGGCAAATAAGAATTGTAAGTTTAAAGACCACCTTAGACAAATGGGTAGAAGATGACCTTATATAGACATGCTACATCCATTAGTCCACTGGTGCCCACTTGTGGCAGGTCTTTATAAACATGCTCAGGGACAGGTTAACAGTGCATACTGCCAATGTGATCTTCATGAAATAAACTCTCATGGAGGAGACAAATAATAAACACACAAGAAAATCAGTTGCATGCATAGATTATGTATGACAAGTTCAATTGAAAGAAGGGAATTAGGCACTAAGTACAGGAGGAACAGGAAGAGCATGCAGACAGAAAACAAATGTTCATATATATTACTGGGATAAGTACATGCTTGGGCAAAGCTAAAAATGTTTCCAAGGCCAACATCAGGCTAGCGCAGCACAAGTGTGTTATAAAAGCAACAGGTCAACATGAGGTTAGAGGTGGGCAGGGTTCAGATCATAAATGGTAGTCCTGCAGGATTTGATCAGGAACTGAATTTTGTAGTTATAAAGGAATGTGCTCCAGTGGTTATGCAAATTTTGATTTACACTGACTGTACTTTGGAAATGCCTTGGCTGCTGTGGAGGAAGAGAAGAGATATAATTTGAAGTCACCATGGCAAGAGGAGGAGATGGATTGTGCTTTTTGTCAGTGGGATAAGAAGTAGTCAAAAGATGAAGAATATCTTTGAGATACAAGAATCAAGATGAAAATTATTTGAATAAAAGACATACAGAAAAGTCCTAGATTTCCTGTCTGAGTAAGTATAGATGATAAAAGTCACATTAAAATAAGAGGAAAGCTTGGACTGGCTGAGAGTAGCACAAATGTAGTTTTGCTTTACCTGTACCAAACTTGAGATATCTAGTCAATATCCTGGGGGAAATAAAAAGTTCCTAGATACATGTACAGATAACAACTAGATACATAAAGATGGTAATTTTAAGGTTCAGGGATACACTTGTGAAGGTTGTCCACCTACAAATACTACTTAATGGGTGAACTACCTGGGTGAACTAACAATTAGGGAGAGTAGATAAAAAGAACCACTGGACTACTGCAAGAAGTAGGCCACCAGTTAAACTCTAAGCCTCATTTCAGTGGTATTACACTCAAGGGTAGCTACCAAAATAGAAAGGCTGACAGAATAGAAGATCAAGGGGGTAAAGGTAGATTGTAAAGGATTGCCACTTTAAAAATGATTAACACTCAGACATATTCATGTGATTACTTCAAGATGAAGGCTCTTGAGAACATGAAAAGAGGTGGCATTTAGGACAAATGGGATGTAAAATGGATACTTCTTCCACTGTAACAAAGGGACAAACACTGCGCCCTCCTAACCATTAGCAGAGCCACACTCTTGCCTGAAAACAATCAGTGTTATATCCTCTTGCCCAAGCATGGAGAATATTCAGCATACTCTTCTGTCTTTTCCCACATTTTCTATTTCTAAATGAATCATTCTCTAATTTTTTATTTAAAACAAAAAGAAAATAATTTTTAAATTTATTCTCTTCTTTTACTCTGCAACAAAATCTCTCAAAATCCTATTCCTATGGGCTGCACAGTAAGAGTGGGGAGCCATGGTTAAAGCATGGACAGGGAGGCAACAGGGGTGTGCCTGCCACTTTTTACCTAACTATGACACTATACAAGCAATGTAATCCTATTTGTGTTTGTTGAACTAGAATTTAATAAAAAAATCATTGTAAGTAGTTGCCTATACTGCTCCATTTAAACTGATTTTGATCATGATGCTAAATAAAACTAATGGTCAAAACTCCAATAAGATTTCTATTTTGACATTTTGCATCAGGTGACAGTTAAGCATGTGTCTTTCCTTTTCCCAGAGCCTTGTAATTTACGTGTGCCAGGATTTATTTAGTTCTTGGCCCATCACTGTTCTTTCTCTCCTTTAACAATCCCATTCGTGCTCATAGCTCAAAAATATCATTGCATACTACTGATATCCAAGTGTGTGCCTCTAGTCCTGGCTTCTTTCCCAGTCTCTGAACATACATATCTTGGATGATAACTAATAAAATCTCAAACATATCTAAAGTAGTTTTGTTCTTACCACTGAATCTGTTCTATCTCACAGTTTTCTTCTATTCAGACAAAGGCTTTCTATCCTCCCAGCTGTCTAGGCCAAAGCCCACAGTGTTGCTCACACCCACTGAGCACTATGACCACAAACATTGTCAGTTCTACTCAGGGATAAACTGAGAGCCTGGCCACTACTCACTGAGTGCACTGCCACTACCATGCAAGCTATCTCCTGCTGTCATCAAGACTACATGGCCTGCCTGCTCCCCATACTCACTCCCTAGCCTGCACATCATACTCAGAATGATTGTTTCAAAGCTGAGGTTAGATGTGTCCTCCTTCTGCTTGAAGCTTCCCAATTAGGGCCCAATATGACCCCCAAGCCCCACTGAGTTCCTTTCTGACCTGTTTTAGTTTAGCAACTGTGGCTCCTTGCTAGTTTTTTAAAACCAGGAACACTCCTGACTTACAGATATCACACTGATTTTTACTAACTGCTTAATCATTCTTAAGATATTAGTATAGTTATATTTCCAATCTTTTTCATGCTTTGCTCAGATGTTACCTTCTCAGTAAGGCTGGCTTCCAAGTCATCTGTGCTCTTTACTGTCCCACCTGGCTTGAGGTTTGTAGGTCCTAACACAATATACCTTTTACTTAATCTACTGCATCCTGTCAATAGACCAACCTGCTTACAAGTTATAAGTTGCATAACGTTATCTCAAATGCTTAAAACTACAGAAAGTGTTCAGCAAAAGTCCTCTGAAAGAAGCATGTAGAGACTGATGGAACACCAACTTACATGATAACTGAATGATAAGGCACTCTCAACTGTAGGAGGCTAGACTGTCACTGGGGAGAAGGAGGATACAAAGACTAAAGTAGTCTCTTGAAAAAGAAAAGAAAGGCTATTTACTGGGAAGCAATAGCCTTAATGGCTTTAGGCTTCTAAATCTGAGACAAGTCCATCTATGTTTTAAGAAAATGCTGGTGTAACAAGAGGTCAGTGTTCAGGGCTGGTAATATGGCTCAACTAGTAAAAGTACTTGATAAACTTAAACCAACAACCTGAGTTTGATCCTTAGCACCCACATTTTTACTTTATTTTGGTTTGTTTACTTATGTATGATTGCTGCTGAATGTACCCTTGCATGCCAGAAGAGGGCATCAGAACCGTTTATAGATGGTAGTGAACCACCATGTGGCACTGGGAATTGAACTCAGGGCCTCTGAAAGAGCAGCCAGTGCTCTTAATCACTAAGCTAACTCTCCAGCCTAGCACCCATACTTTAAAAAGAAGTAAGAAGCAGTGTATCAGAGACCAGTTAACCTGGAGTGTGCAAACCACCAGAAAAGCAAGCAAGATTGCCTCTACAAAATGGAAGGCAAGAACTGACTTCTGAAAGTTGTCCTTTGACCCCCAAATACACAACTGGCATGTATATACCTACATTTACATATAAACTAAATTTAACTGCATTCTAAACGACACTGGACGGACTTTAGAACTGTGTATTGGTTATAGTTATCCTACTTTGCCATATTTTGTTTTGGTTTTTTTGGAAGAGTGCAAAGGCTTATCTTGACCATCAATTTGATGAGATTTAGAATTACCATAGAAACACAACTGTCAGTTCATCTACATGGATATTTCCACAAAGGTTTAAGACATATGTGCAGAAGGGAGACCTACCTGAGTGTGGACAGCTGAGATCAAAAATGAATGAGGACAAAGTAAACTAAGAATCAGCATTCATCTGTCACTGTTTCATCACTTCGGCTTATATGACTATCTACTTCCTGTTTCTGCCACCCTGAATTTCCCACTATACTCTCAAAACTGTGAGCCCAAATAAACCCTTCCTTTCTTAGCTACTTTTGTTTGATGTTTGTCACAGCAATGAGAAAAGTAATTTAAATATAGAATCTGTCTCTTTTTCCACTGAAAATTAAAAGTGTATTTGGTTTCAAAGCTGAAGTTTATGCAACAATAAATATTTCTGACTCTGGCATGTAAAACTTTATTCACTACTTCTCATGTTTTACCTCAGCAGTTCCAAATTGTTCACAACCCTAGGAAATGTCAGCTTAACTGCCCTTTATTTGTACATATGCAACTCTTCGACAATTGTTTTCTAGCCTAACTTTAAAATAATCATTCCTTCAGCTTACTGTCTTTCTTCAGGACACAAAGCATATTGTTCATAAAACTTTAAATCATCTTGTACTTGTGCTTCACAGTGGCCTTTTATGTATGTTTCTAGATGGGAATAGATTATGTCTTATATGACTGGAATCTTTAGTATGTAAAGTTTAGATGCTCAGTAATACTAAATAAGTACTTACTGTGTGGTTATTGTGTGTGTCTGTATGTCTTCAAACATTCAAGGCCTCTGATACCCATAGGTAAAATAACTAGGAAGCTGAGTTACAGACACTCACAATTTGGTATTTGAATAAAGGAAGTACATATCACATAAAAATGACTATTGGTTCATATACTCAATGACTATTGGTTCATATACTCCACTAAATGAAACTATTTTTAACTACATTGACTTATTGGTTCATTCACTATGTGTGTGTGTGTGTGCGTGCGTGCATGTCCAAGTGCCACAGAGCATGCAGACATGTAACAAAGTAGAAATGTCCATATCTGACTTCATGTGATGGGTTGTAGTTAAAATACATACTAAAAATAATGTATAAAATTATTTCTAGACTATGTATGAGGTGAAAGAAACATAAATCAATCTTATGTTTAAATATATACTCCCTTTCCTCAAACAGTCCAGGTTGTAAAAAACAAAAAACAAAAACAAAACAACAACAACAAAAAAATCAAAAACCCTAAACAATTTCTGACACCAAACATTTCAGGTGTGAGAGATAGAATGTGTACTTAAGAAACAGGAGGGGTATGATAAGCATAAATAAAAAATTTAAATGTTGAATTAGTTTCCGATAATCTGAAGCAAGGTAATAAAAGCCTAGTTTAGTCCTTACTTTGTCTGTCCAATTCGGTGCACTCTCCCAATGGCCTGAAGCTCATGGGCAGGGTTCAGTATGGGCTCCACCAGGAGGACATGAGTGGCTTCAATGATAGTTAATCCATTAGAGCCTGTGTGCAGGGGCAGCAGCAAAATATTGATTTGGGGATCATATTTAAACGCTGAAAGGTTCTCCTAAAAGAAGAAAGGTACATTTTAATTTAGGCTGGATCGATTAAAATAAGAGCAGTTATGTTACAGCTCAAGATAAACATAATAGGGAAGATTAAAATGCTAATCCACCAATTTTAGGAATTGGAATGTTGTTGTTTTTCTTGATTTTGAAGAGAATCATACAAACCCTTTTGCTTTCATAGCATGTGGGAACTACAACATACATATATGTGATACATAAAAACTGAACTGTGTGAGTGTACAGGAAAACTATGTCAAGTTAATGTGAGGTAAGATAGGACTCTACTGTATTTTCAGTTGTTCTCGTATGTGGTGTGTCTCAGATTATACGCGTGACTATACTGAATTTGATATAAACAAAATTTTAATCACATGTACGTTTTTTAGAGAGGGGGGGGGGAATAATCCCAGGGTACAAGGACCCCTTCAAAAGAAATACTGCAAGGCCATTTCTTCCTACATTAAAGAAAAAGATATTAAGACAAAAACATCTTTTTAAAAGATTTTGTTTAAAACATTAATTTCACTGATAATTAAGAACTTAAAACATTCTTATAGGGTTCAGGACAGAAGATAAATGAAGTCAGCTAGAAAACAGCAGGTTCAGTTTGCAACTGATCTGTTAAAAACATGAGCAAAATTATGACACACCTGGAATGTCTTAATGCGACTGATTTGTGTAAATTCCATGTTGTTGTCGGTGAGAGCTTTTGAAATAATATCTAATACATCTTGCCACTAGAATATAAAAGTGAGAAAAAGTGTTTACATACAGCTTTTGACCAAAGAGACTTGAGAAGGGAATAAATCATAATTAAACCACAGTAACTTTTATATATCAGTTAAATGAACAAAACCAAACCCAAACCCTCAGATGGAGAACCAACAACACTAGCTCTGTCGGGAAACAGCATTTTCTTTTCCCATCAAATACTGGTTGAACAGCAATATAATAAAATACAAGCATCACTGAAAATAATTAAAATATAAATAGAAAACAATGGTGTGTTTAATGTATATAGCTTATCTTTCTAAAACTAGGATTTTACTATATTTATAAATAATACTTTATTTATAGTACATTAACTACTTTTTCTTAAATCAGCCATTTCATTTGTGAATCTTTGAAGGTTACTGATTCTAATTTTCAAATATCAAAAATATCTCTAAATGACATCAATATAAAATCTAATACGTAATGCTAGGAACTTCCTTTATAAAGTATTATCACTTTTCTCTATATACATAAACATAAGGATACAGGGAAAAAATGACAGTAATTCTGAATCTTCGCTCTCTTTCAGTAATTTTCTTAAGTAGTTATTTGGTAGACACTAAGTAAAGGCAGAAGACCAGCTAGACTGAAGCAGAAACTCTTGATTATACCGTCGAGAAAACGAGTGCTTTGGCTCCTGGATCTCTAAGTTGTATTTTCATCAGAGTTCTGACCACAGCTTCCACTTTTGTAGAATGGCTACCCTTTGAAAACAAGAGGAAAACATATTAGCACCAAACAAAACCTAGTTAAGGAAAGAAAGAAAATTGGTATAAACCATTTCATTCAAACTATATATAACAGAGCATATATATATATATGTGACATATATAATTTAGCAAATATATATGTGATAAATACATGTATATATATATATATTTCAGCAAATATATATGTGCTTAGTATATATAATTTGGCAAATACATATGTGCTTAGTCTATTTTGTGTTTGCTGGGAATTTTTTTTAGTGTCTAATTGCAGAAATGAATGTTTATCACCAAGGTGTTTAATAGACAGCTCAGTGGGTAAGCAACATCCTTGGCATGAGCCTGATGACCTGAATTTCATTTCCTAGAGCCCACAGAATGGAAACAGTCATTATTGACATGCCATCACTTGACTCTGCACACATGCCGTATCATGCACTTTCTCCCCTGTCCCCCAAATCTAAGAATAAGGATTTCCTAAAAGAATTTATATCCAGTTAATTGAACATAAATGCATTCTAGAAAGTCCTACAGTATTGATACCAAACACTCTGTAGTTAGGTTTTATAGTTACTAAATTCTGATACAATAAAGAAACAGAATGTATATTTAAAAACCCTTCCTTACTACTCCATTCACTTCAGACAATTTAAGATTAGAAATGTAAGAATACAAAGAATGAAAACTCAAGGCACCTTGAAAACTGAAGGATTCAACCAATGAATACAATTTCCTTGCAATGGCATGACCATGGACAATGATAGATACACAAGATGTCGACTAACAAACAGGCAGATAGAGTCACTTTACAAGAATTTTTTCTCTCTCTTTTTCAACTGTTCCATCACAGGAATATGGAAATAGAAAAGTAGTTTAAAACCTGAGGAATAAACAAATGATGAACCCATCATCAGTGTGTTTAACCTAACCCTAGTAAAAAAATAGTAACAGGTTTTCAGACCTTAGACATGAACACTACCATGACCTCAATCGAGGTGTGGGAAGTGGACAATCCAAATGCAAATGGATTACCACAGCAGCATTCATCCTTTCCTCAATGCTCTCAATACACTTATTTTTACATGAAAAAAATACAGACCCCCCCCAGTAAACAAGGAAGAAAGTTATTCTAATTTAATGGGAAGACAAGATTTTGAAAAAAAAAAGTAAGGCGAAAAGTCTGCATGCTAAAATAAAGATCTAATATTTACTTTTTTAGACATACAGCCTCTCAGTTATACATACAAGGTTTAAAAAAAACTTAAAGGGGACCATACTATCTCATACTACTGATTTAAAATAATATTAAAGAGAAAACAGAAAAAAGAATACAAAGTGATAATTCAGCCCTTCAGATAGAACCACTCATATACCCTATACCATGCCACCTTGGAAAGCTTCTCACTTCCGATATGGCTCAGTGGGTAACACTGACAAGCCTGATAAACCTGAGTTCTATCCTTCTTACCTACGAGGTAGGAGAGAACCAACTCCCACAAGCTGTCCTCTTACCACCACATGTAGATTCGTGCCAACACACACAAGAAATATATGTTAAGTGAAGTATAGGATAAACACAAGTCCTTTACTGAGCTGTTTCTTACTGAAGATTCAAAAGAAAACAGAAAGAAAATTTTTATAGGCAACATTCCAAGTGGGGTATTAACTCCATGTAAGGAAAGATCAGCTCATTCTCCTGTTATAAAAATTAGATGGTTCAATGGTTCTCAAAAATATCCCCATAGGTTCTGAGCCATTTCACTGAATCACAGTTAATTATTAAGAATAATTGTGTCAGGAACCAAAAGCTGCATCTTCCCAGGAACTATAGAGGGGAAAAAGGTTATAGGAAAAGACTGCCTGTGTCTCTAGGGCCCCTGTTTTGAGTCTGCATGCCCTTCACAGATTTGAAAACAGAACAAGCATATAGTGTCAGAACTGTATTTAGGCAGCTCCATCTCTCCATATGAAACTGTAGCCAAGACCTCACCATGTAGCCCAGGCTGACCTTGATTTCACACCAGTTCTCCTGCTTCATGCTCTCAATGGATGAAATTAGAGGCATGAGCTACTATGCTTGGCTAAGATGAAACATTTCAAACTTTAGACTATTTTTAGACATTTAAATTACTAATTATTATAAAATGATACTCTAATGGGCATATGCTTTCCATTTTCTTGGCTATATAATTAAGAATGGAATCTTTGGGTCTACAGTAACCGCTGCTTTCATAGTACTGCTGGGGACTAAACCAAGGCTGTGTGAATGCTGGTCACACTCTACTTACATGCCATACTGCTAATTCTTTACCTTGTAAGATGCTATGTTGAAAGTTCATTGCCTCGGTGAACCTATTTTGATTAAAAACTCGTAATTTGTTAAGTCAAAAGAAGATGCTCTAGACAACAAAGGATTACTAAAGTAAAAAAGGAGGCAGAGAAATAGTAACAGATGCTCTCTGCAAGTGTGTATGCTCATCTTGCAGTCAGATTGAGCTCCCTGATAAAGCTAGTGCTGCTAGACAACTTGCTCAGGGGATCCCTTCTCCACCCTCCAAGGCTGGAATTAGAGGCAAGTTGCCATGCCCATCTGGCTGTGTGTTGGTTCTGGGGATCTGAGCTTGACCTTCATGTGTGCTATGCACTGTAACCATTGAGCCATCTTCCTAGAAATGGAAACCGTATTTTCTTAATCCAGTCATGAGTTTGTTGACACTTGGGTTGATTCTATGTCTTGGCTGCTGTGAAAGAATAATGCTTCAATGAACTGAGAAGAGAGACAAAGGTTTTAACACTATGCTCATAGCTATTGCTTCTGTTTTTCCAATTGAGAGATGATGTCAGCAGGCAAAATAGTAAAATAGTTAATAAAGAAATGACCTCAAACCTTTCTATTAAGTATAATAGAGAATAAACTAGATTTCTGGATAAGTAAACATATAAAAAATTAGTAAAAATATATCAGCACCAAAGTCCAACAAAGGGAATTTCCTACGAAATCTGGCCTAGATGTCATGTAGAAGCACAACTCAAAATCAGAAATGCCAGGCAGATTCTTATTCTAATAGGTTTGACTAACTAACTTTAATCAGATTAGAACAGAACAGTCATATGTTTTTGCTGCAAAACTCTTAAGAATTTAAAATTCTGAGTTAAAATTTTCACTGTGCTGAAAGGATTGAAAGAACAGTGTTTACTGCTGCAAATTTAGTGGACTAGTAGAATTATAGCAATAAAGCAATCAGGGAATGTCTGGCTTAGAAGTTAAGCTCTCCTTGCCCATTTAGAATAAAAGCGCTGTACAATGCAATTCTGGGATAAGGTGCTCTGTGGAGAGAAGAGTGCAAGGATAGTAAAAAATCTTTATGCATTGTTTTAGTTTGGGTTTTACTGCTGTGAACAGACATCATGACCAAGGCAACTCTTATAAAAACAACATTTAATTGAGGCTGGCTTACAGGTTCAGAGGGTCAGTCCATTATCATCAAGCATGATGCTTTAGGACGGCAGCGTCCAGGAAGGCATGGTGCAGCAGGAGCTGAGAGTTCTACATCTTCATCCAAAGGCAAACAGGAAAGATTGGCTTTCAGGCAGCTAGGAAGAGGGTCTTAAAGCTCATGCCCACAGTGACACACCTACTGTAAGGCTATACCTTCAAGTCATGCCACTCCCTGGGCCAAACATATTAAAACCATTATATTCTACCCCCTGGCCCCTATAGGTTTGTTCACGCACATCAATCTATTGGGGCCATACCTAAACATAACATAATGCTAAAACATTTAGTCTAACTTCAAAAGTCCCCATAGTCTATAATAGTCTCAATAATGTTAGAAGTCCAAAGTTTAAAGTCTCTTCTGAGATTCATCTAATCACTAAACTGTAATCCCCAAAGCAATACAAGAAACCAGATGGCCAAACTCCAAATTCTGCATTTCCATGTCTGATGTCAAAGCAGTCTTCACATCTCCAACTCCTTTTTCATCTGTGTTAACTACAACAAACTTCTTTTTCCTGGGCTTGTCCCTATTAGCAGCTTTCTTGTGCAGGTATCCAAAGGCTCTGCCATCTTTAATATCTTGGGGTCTCCAAGTCATCTTCAACTTTACAGCTTCTTGTTCCACACATGATCTTCTGGGCTCCTCCAAAGGGCTTGGGTTACTTCTCCAGATCTACAATCTCTAAGATCTGCTTGACTTCACTCCGCTGCTGCAGTTCTTGGTATGGTCAGCCCATGGTACTGGCATCTCCAATATGCTGGAGTCTTCTGCTGCAACTAGGTTTCACTGATAGCCTCTCATAGGCTCTCTTCATGGTGCCAAGCCTCAGTTCTTTTGCACGACCCCTTCAGTCCTGACCCTTCAACTGCAACTGAGGCTGCATCTTCACCATTGGCCTTTCATGACCTCTCACAGTGCCGAGTCTCAGCTGCTCCACATGACCTCTTTATGTATGTCTTCAAAAGCAGCAGCATCTGAGTGACTCTTAGACATTACCAAGTTCAACTGCAGCATAAGATACAACCTTGGCTGTCTCTGGAACACAGCTTCTTTGTGCTCTCAGAAAACACTTCCCAGAAGATTTCATGTAAGTGATGTTGGTCTCTCCTTGATCACTGTCCCAGTAGTACCTTCTATTCATGACTCTAAAGCCAGGGCTACATGGCCAAAGCTGCCATGTTTGTTGCTTGCTGAGCTGGAACATGGCCCCCCTTATTCTATTACCAGCTTTCTGTTTTCTAACTCTCTCTGCTAAGCTTGGCTATCCTGGAACTTGCTCTGTAGATTGACCTTGAACTCAGAGATCTTCATGGCTTTGTCTCCTGGGATCAAAGGTGTGTAGCACCATGCCTGGACCTAAACTTAGCTGGGTGGGATCTTGCCCCAAGGTCACCACTTCCTTAATTCAATTTAATATCCTTGAACACAGGACTCAGCTGTGTTCACTTCCTGGTATTCCTTTAATACTTGAACCATATATTTTATAGTTTTCCTTTC